CATTTTTGCATATGACTTCAATATATTTTGTTTTAATCTCAGCAGTCTGGACCAGAAGCAAATTATTATGTCCTTGGTCTTAATTTGGATACCATAGAGTATCATCTTTTTCAAGTCCAGCATGAACCCAAGAACAAAGATTGCTCCGAGGGTGTGGAGCGTGTGTGATCACCCCCAGCTGTTCACTGGTGCTCCTGAATAGGACAATGATGGTACACAGTGATACACAGGGCTTAATGCTCGGAGGCCCTGTGCTGGAAAAGCAAAGGAATTAGCTAATCCTTTTATTCCACTGGGCTAAACAGCGAACCAGACCCGCAGTTCAAAACCATTACTCTGAGACCAAGACCCCCTGTTTATTGGCTTGCAAACACATGCTGGAGTTAAACAATGCCAGGGGTCCCACTGTAAAACAATTCCCTTAAGAGATGAAGCCATAAATGCCTCATTATATGACCAAATCTCAATTGTAGGATGGCAGAGGTTCTGCCATTTGTACTTTTTCTGCTCCTGTTCTAACTAAGAGCCACCCAAAAAGACACTTTTTACTGAATGAAGAGATGTGGAAGTTGCAGGCTTGTGGCACTAGAGTGCGTGTTTTGCTGCAGGGAAGATCAGGTGTGAGCCGAGGGCAGAGTTGCGTTGCTCCAGCCAGCTGCTGGGGTGCTGGAGGTGTGATGGTCTGGGGAGGAAGTTCCTTTAGCACAAGATCTCCTCTAGTGCACGTTAACAAGCCTCTCGCTTCCTGCACACCGGTCCAGGAGTGTCGGACCCCCGGCAGGACGATACGGGGGCAGGCAGTTCGAGGGGCCGCAGTGGCACGACCGCAGGACACAGCGTCAAGGTCTTGCCGTGGCTGGATTCCTCTCTGGGCCTGCCTGCAGCACAACATCTGTTGGATCAACAGGAGACAACTGCAGCCCGCCGAGCTTCCCCAGCTGACCGCAGCTTCACTGCAGCAATGACGGAACATTTCCCAGCTGTCTGATTGGAGGACGATGAGGCTGTGTGTCAGGCTGTAGCTGCCTCTTAACCACCTACAGGCAGTCCTTGGGCTTATGATGCAACTGGTTTGAAAATAGTCTTTTAAGATGACAAGTCATAACTTGGAGCTAATTTTCTCATGCCTTGGTACAAATAATTGGTTCCTGAACCAAGGCAAAGTACTGCGTTTTCACTAAATGGATATCGTGACCGTATGACTTGCATTTTCAAAAGTGCCTTCCAATTCAAAGACTAATCCAGCCTTACACCTTTGCCAGTATGGAAACTGGTTATTAATGCCCTAGCATCATACAGTCCTGTCCAAAAGCATCACTATTGCCGCTCAAGATCACAATGTAAACAAACAACACACTGATTTGATCAGAAGTGTCATCGTGGGTTATGTTTCCTAGTAAATCCCTTATCAGTGGTATGTTGACTGTGCGCAGGCATAAATACTATAGCTACTTTACTGAAGTTTGATTTTTAAGCTTGAAATCATTCCCTACTGTAGTGTCATATCTGATTGATCAGTGTGATGTCAAAATCAGTGGTGAAAAGTCAATTAATAGTTGAATTTGCATGGGTGTCAATTCATAAATGTCATAAGTTGCCTCCATTTTAACTTGAATGTTGTGAAGTTGAGGACTGACTGTATACAGCATGCACATGGCGTTTTGAAAAATGTCTCAAAATGCGGTGCTCATTAATTCCGAATGCAACGTGTATTGGAGCAACAAAGATTTCCACCCTTATAATTTTGAAGCTGAGAACAGGACATGAATTTGTTTTAGAATCGTATGTGAAACATGTTTCCCATGATGGAGCCAGGGTGAGGCCTGGAGCAGTTCTCAATTGGAGAATGCCGTTCCCTGTGCTCTTTGGTTTGAAGGACGAACAGGTTTTAGGCGGTTTCTCCCAGCCAGATGCTGTACCATGAAGAATATTTTAACCTTTTGAATCGGTCTCCATGGAGTAAACCGCCCCTGCATGTAAACAAACCAGATTAGCTCCCCTGTCAGCAAATTTCCGCCCACTGCCCAAGGTATTATCTCAAATGAACTTTGACCCTGAACTTGTGACCTGCAGGACTGCCAGAGCTCCTAAATCCTGTCTCTTTGATTGGTGACCGCCTTTTTGCCCATTGCGTAGTTATATTTCCCATCTTTTAAGACATGCAGGTAGGTTCCATATTAAAACTGAGAGATCGGGACAACCGAATATGCTGCATTATCAACTATTAAATATTTTTGCATATATACATTTTGTAACAAACAAAATGTGCAGTTTTTGCAGACCCTTTTTTTTCGAAACCTGGCAAAGATCAAAGATAGAGGTGATCTTTGAGTTGGTATTTTAGACGTAAATTGGGAACATTCTGATAAATGTCCTCAAATTTCCTGCTTGACACTACTGAGTACTTGAGTACTGTGTACTTTCATGTTTTGTCATCTTAATTATCCTTGAAGCAGAGAGAAGAGTTGCAGGGTAAATCTGCTTTATTCAAGTATCCAGTCCTAGAAATGGCATGTGCCCCATATATTTCTATCCTTCTGTAACCCATCCCGTTTATGTTTACAGAGGAATAAATATTTGATCTCTTGCATTTTTGTTTGCCTGTGGGTGTGTTTTTACTGAGGTCAAATGTCGTAACCTTTAACTTCAGCCTTTTCAGGCTTCATGTGTTGTTACAACCGCAGGTTGGAAAGGAGCGCCATTTTGCAGTCAAAACTGTTATCTTCTGTTTTGTAATGACAGTGCATAACAAAGCTGTGATTAAATTGCTATCATAATGCTTCTGAATATAACTCATTGCAATTATGTGAGGTGTTGAAGTCATGTTGTAAAGAAACACCGGTGTTTGTTATACAGGAGATTAGATTTTCTGTAGATGTTGATCATGAATGATTTACTGTTGCTGTTCCTCATTGAACCATTAACACTGAAGACCTTGGTCGTAAACCTCTGGTTCTCTGACCGCATGTGTTGAATATACAGCGGAGCTTTTTTTATCACATCGGTATTCCAGTGATTTGGAATATTTGATACTGCCAGCCAGCCAGCAGGAGACACTTTTCTCACTGGAGTCAAACTGCTGGGCACATGTTCCCACACTATCTTGTCAAATAAAGATGACAATTTGAATTAAAGACCATTTTTTTAAATGTCTTGATAACTTACAAATGTAGGTTTTGTGTTATTTTCCCAAACAACAACAACAACAACAACAACAACATAAATAAGGTACTTAATCTCTGGAAAGCCATTAATATAATCTTTGTATTGGGATTGTACAACATTAACCCTTCTTCGTATTTAGTGTGTAGTTTATTCTATACACTAATTTTCTTTGCAAATGTGGTCTTTCCATATGTTTCTGTATGGTCACGATGTGTCATTCTGAGTTACCTGATTACCAGGAATCCTGCCTACATATTTGACTTGAAAATTACAAGACAAATTCCTGAGCATGTTTTATTATTCCTGCCGTTTTAAGAGACCTCTATCTGCTTGTTTGTGTGTTACAGCTCAGCATCGAGAAGGCCCAAGCTATTGCAGAGCAGGTGGAGATAAAGGCCAAGTTTGTGCAAACTGAGGTCAAGGCTGTCACATCGCGGCACAAGAAGGCCCTCGAAGAAAGGGAGTGCGAGCTGTTGTGGAAGGTAAAGACCAAGAGGGGGTTTAATGTTGGAATAAACTTTGTGTACGATCCCTCCATACTGTGAGTTTTGAGATGTTTACACGGATCTGTACTGTTTCTGTGTGCAGACAAAAAATCAAATCAACCAAAAAAATCATCGTTTGAAGTTCTTTCGAAGGGAGCGTTTTTGTCTGAATGGCCCTGCCGTCTACAGTGTTTGATGTTTGACCTCGGATGTCTTGGGAGCACTTTAAATAGGTGACCTGAATAAAATTAATATAAATGGAGCTGCTTCAACAACGTGTGCATCAGCTTGCACCAGTAGTGTCACTGCAAGACGAGCAGCCTGTGAAGATGTGTGTGAATGCAAATATCCAGCACATTGTGTTTCAGTAAAAATGAGAAGCTCTTTGCTGCTGCAGTTTGCAGGTGTGTAAGGTGGAGCCTTGATTCCTTTGAATACTCTTAGACAAATAACTTCCCCACAGCAGCCTAGTTAATTTTAATAACACTCAGGCCCCATCCATTTTCAATGGGTTATGAGCACAGGTTACAGGCGGGGGGTAGAAGGAGAGATCGAGCTGACCGCTTCATCAGATAATCAAAGGATGTTGCCTGAATGGTTTTACATGTCAGAGCAGGACTCTGAATTTAATATGATACTCAGCAGACAGCCAGTCAAGTAACTTTTTACCCTTTAGCTTCTCGGAAACTGTTGCAATAAAAAGGGTTCCCCTTTCAGAAGCAACAGCCATCTGGAGCTGCAGACTATCAAGGGGAGAAGTCCCCCTTCAACTGTCGCAAAGCACAGCACAGCCTCTCTCGCTCCCAACCCCCTGCCCCACACTACATCGAGACCTCCTCTGGTCAGCAGCGCAGAACGCCGTGCACATGGTGGGGAGAGACCGAGGGAGCCCTTCTCTGCCACTCTCGAACTCCACTATGCGCTGTTGGTGCTGCGTTTTGCAGATCAACATGCCTGTTCTTTAACTTAACTTAAACTTTTGTTGTCCGTGTTGCATAATAACACTGGATTTCTTCACATTTGACAGATTGCTTTAGCCTCTTAAATTACGCTATGAAATGCTACACAAGCAGAAATAAAGCTGTTGCTTCATCTTCAAAACGCACAGATTATACCAGGTAAAAACAGGATGTTATAATGAAACATCTCTAAAGAATACAGGCCCCTATTCCTAAGCAACACCTTAAACTTAAGTTAGGAACTTTATCCATTGTGTTTATAAAACAACTTTTATTGTACTATATTTAAATTCTACATGCAGCATGTTTTTTTAAGACCTTGCTGCTTCTCCTTATTTAGAAAGCACAGCTTTCCGATTCTTGCTCAGCTGCAGCTTTCAAACAGGGAGGAAGCTAGTGTTCTTGTTTGCGAACTTCAAGCACGTGCTTGGATTCCTACCGGCCCCAGAATGCCTTCGTGGCTTATGTTAGAAAGGGCACTCGGTTGCGTCTAAATCGCTGCCCGCGACCTTCTTCCTTTTTTAATTGACGATTCTGACCTCGCGCTCTCCCTCTCTCGGACGTCTCTGTGCAGGTGGAGAAGATCCGGCAGGTGAAAGCGAAGTCCCTCTACCTCCAGGTGGAGAAGCTGCACCAGAACCTGAACAAGCTGGACAGCACCATCACGGCCGTCCAGCAGGTCCTGGAGGAAGGCAGGAACATGGACATCCTGTTCGCCCGGGAGCGCATGCTGACGCAGATCCAGGAGCTGAAAGCCCTCAGGGGCATGCTGCAGCCCCAGGAGGATGACCGCATCATGTTCACGCCGCCGGACCAGGCTCTTTACATTGCGATCAAGTCCATGGGGCTGATCAGCAGCGGCGCTTTCGCACCTGTCACCAAAGCCACGGGGGAGGGTCTGAAGAGAGCCTTGCAGGGCAAAGTGGCGTCCTTCACGGTGGTGGGCTACGATCACGACGGTGAGCCCCGGCTGTCGGGGGGGGATGCGGTCACGGCGGTGGCCATGGGCCCCGACGGAAACCTGTTTGCGGCAGATGTATCGGACCATCAGAACGGGACGTACACAGTCAGTTACCTGCCCAAGATGGAGGGGGAGCACCTCATCTCGGTGCTCGTCTGCAACCAGCACATCGAGGGCAGCCCCTTCAAGGTCCTCGTGAAGTCGGGCCGCAGCTACGGGGGCGTGGGGCTGCCCATGGCCTCCTTTGGCGGAGAAGGGGACGGAGACGGTAAGCTCTGTCGGCCCTGGGGCATCTGCGTGGACAAGGAGGGCTACGTGATCGTGGCCGACCGCAGTAACAACCGGGTGCAGATCTTCAAGCCCTGCGGCACCTTCCACCACAAGTTTGGCACCCTGGGCTCCCGGCCCGGTCAGTTTGACCGGCCTGCCGGCGTGGCCTGCGACAGCCAGAGGAGAATCATTGTGGCCGACAAGGACAATCACCGCATTCAGGTCTTTACATTCGAGGGGCAGTTCCTCCTGAAGTTTGGGGAGAAGGGTACAAAGAATGGGCAGTTCAACTATCCCTGGGATGTGGCGGTCAACTCTGAGGGCAAAATCCTGGTCTCGGACACCCGGAACCACCGCATACAGCTCTTCGGTCCGGATGGGGTGTTCCTGAACAAGTACGGCTTCGAGGGCGCCCTGTGGAAGCACTTCGACTCCCCTCGGGGGGTGGCTTTCAACCACGAGGGCCACCTGGTGGTGACGGACTTCAACAACCACCGGCTGCTGGTCATCCGGCCCGACTGCCAGTCCGCCCGTTTCCTGGGCTCGGAGGGCACGGGCAACGGGCAGTTCCTGCGGCCGCAGGGGGTGGCGGTAGACCAGGAGGGCCGCATTATCGTGGCCGACTCCCGCAACCATCGGGTCCAGGTGTTTGAGCCCAATGGCAGCTTCTTATGCAAGTTCGGGACTCAGGGCAATGGCTTTGGGCAGATGGACCGCCCATCGGGTATAGCCATTACGCCCGACGGCATGATCGTTGTCGTCGACTTCGGGAATAATAGAATCCTGGTGTTCTGAAAACAAGAGAGCTCTTTCTCCTCAAAATGAGAACAAGAAGGAGGAAAGAAAATAAAATGAAGAAAGAGATTTTAAGATACACTTCATGAGGGTTCGGCCTTTAGGTTGAATGAGGGAAAGGGTGGCCATGAAAGGGATTTTGATTTTTTTCTGTACGTGTAATGAGCTTTCTTTTGAAGGTCAACCGACACTCCCATCATCAGGGTTTATAAATTCAGAGAAAGCTTGCCTAGCTGTAGTGGGTTTTTCCTATATTGGGTTATATGGCTGTTTTGTGAAGTGGAATCGGTGTCACTGACAGCAAAGGAAAAAGTAGATCAAACATTTTAGATTCCTCGTAGCAAACAGGGTAGTCACCAACGTAGTGTGGGATATCTAGAAAGTACTATAAACTCTTATTAGATTTCCGATAGTTGTAATTATTAGATATCACTTGAAAGATACTGTTGGATTTGAGAGAAGATTTATGCTGTATTTATAACATGATGATTTAGACTTATTGTCTCAGTGGGCGATGAACCATAGAGCAGTATTGGCCCCATGCTTCAGTCACAACTGTTGCCAATGTGGTCAAGTCCCTCAGAAAGGCTTGGCTGGCCTTCATGTGCATCTTAAATTCCCTTTTATTGATCATCTCAGGGAATTACTTGCATTCTTGAAAATATTTTACACTCTGCATCATACCTACCTCATCTTGTTCATATATGAATGTACTTGTGTTTGTTGTGCAGAGATTTAGTCCGTGAAGTTTTATAAGAAGAAAAAAAAGTCTACCTCAATGCTTTTTTATTTAAGAGAGAGAAAAAAGAAAACAAAGTTAGGTTTATATTTGCACAGCTCGCACAAGTTTTCTAGATTGTTACTGTGCACATTAAGCAATTTAAAATACTGGATATTGCTGAAAAGATATTCAGAATCAAAGGCTACATGTTTAGGATAAAGTGTGGAGACCTTTCGATGAATCTACTGTTTGTTTTTGATGTTTTTTTATGTTAGTTTTTGGGGCGTTTAACCACCAAATGCTACATGTTGTAACTGTGGCAATTTCGCTTCATGTCTTGGCTAGTCTAAACTCTACACTTTCTCCCCTTTTCAAATTTAAAGTTTTGTAGCTGGTAGAAATTGAATAGGCAGGCTTGCCTTTTGTGATATATAAATAATGGCAAATGTTAGAGAGTTATTTGCTTCTATAGTAAGTTAGACCAAATAGGCTATATGGTGAATAACAGTAGCAGGTCAGTTCATAAATAGTATGTTAACAGCAGCATAAACAATAAATAGAAGATGATTCGAAGATAAATGCTGTTCTTAACCTTTGGGTGAATTTGAAATAATTGGATTAAGACAAGGATACGAGGCATTACAGATTAATTTGAAGTAGTCAATAAATACGCTTGACAATTTTCCATAATTGCAGCATTTATAGATATTTCCTCTCCTCCAGGATTACAGTGCTACAATTATGATAGAGTATAGAAGAGACTATAGAACGTATTACGGGCTTTGAGCATGTATGTTCAATAAAGAATAACGGGCTTCATAAAGCATGATGGTAATTTTTAGTGTTGTCACAAGGTAGTATAAGACCCCAGATAATCCTTTTTTTATTGAAACTTTTAATGTGTTATTTTTAAGTGATACTTAGTGGTTCTGCAAAAATGCATTTGTTTGGAGTCTTAGAAGTTACGTTTGGGGACCTGCCAAAGTGTTTTCAAGCCGTGGTGGTGTTCCTCCTTACAAGGTTGCCTGGCCAACGTTGTTCTTTAACCTTTTTGTGTCGTGTTGAGTGAAGTGGGCTGTGAAATATTTACAGTACAGGGGCTACATTTGCAAATGGGCAACCGCAAACCCACCATCACTACACATGACCGGTTTTCTCCACACTGAGGCATTGGATGAAATCCAAGCATTGTGGGACAGTTTATATTGTTGCCGTCCTTTTAATGTCCAAAAAGATGTAGGTGCAAGTAGACCAACCTTTTAAAGATTAGGGTCTAATGCCAGCAAAGGAAGGGAACCATGACTTGAGCACAAATTGCCCTTTGTTTGGTGTCCAGTTACCTTTATAACTTCAATATGTAAAAAAAGGCTCTTTATTTTTTTTCTGAAGTCTAAAACTTCCTAAAAGCTAAGCACTGTAGCTGAGCCAAGCTTAAAATGAAAATTTAAAATGAAAACATTCAATAGTGATCATAGAGATGCGTAATCTGGCTTTCAATTAGGCAAGGATAGAAAACAATTTAAGTCTTCACTCACTGGAATAGGTTTTTGAAGGAGAAGATATATTTTTTATTATTTTATTTAAGTCCTGATAGGTCTATGCTAAGTGTTTGTCCAAACAATCTGGAGAGGGTTAGGGGTCAAATTGTTTTGTGTAAAACAAACAGCTCTTTAGAACCTAAAACCCTAGCATTGATCCTGTAAGAACACTTCCATGTCTATTTCATATTTGTGAGTTTTCATTTTAGTGCAGTAACAGACCTATTACACGAATACAGTTAACCCAGACTTCTTAAAATATGATATTCCTTGTTCATTTACCATAATAGTTATTCTGTTAAACTGAAACTGGGATTTAAATCTTTAAATGGTTTGTACGTCTTGGGTAGACCCAGACAAACATTGAAAATGGGTGTCAGACACTAGTTTTCTCCGCATCTTCCTAACATCTGCTGTATGTTTAAAGCATGTTTGGTCTGTTAGGGCCTTTTTTAGAAAATCTTCCACAAAAAGTACTAAATGATTAAAATTTCATTACCCTGTCCTACCAAAGATGCTAGAAGCGATATCCATGCTGTATGGTATTTATCACGAAGGGTTCTGCTTACTGAAGCGCTCTCAGAGCAAAGTAATTCGGCCTTTAAAATTGTTTTTTACCATCTTGCTTTTTCATTGTACTGAAAGCGTCCTCATCAGTCTTGATGGTACAGCAGCATTCCCTTCCTGCCCTTACTTGGTGACTTATCAAAATCAGCTTGCGCATTCTGTGCCAACCGAAATAAATAGTCCCCTCATGTCTCAACAATTCCACAAACGCAGTAGAATTCGGTCTCTTATTCAATTATTAGTTTCTTGGACATTTATTTTTACATTGCTTCACAACGCCTGTCACGATTGTAGTACAGTAGGTTAACACATGAACAGTGTGTCTACGTCAGGCGGGTGGCAGGATTTTTAAAGAGTGCTCTACTGCTGTAGTAAATCTTTCTTTATGCCAGGGGTGCTGCAGCTTGTCACCTTGATCGGGAGCCTTCTCCTTGCTTTTCTCCTCACTAACACGGCAGACCATGAACAATTAACCAGGACTGATGTCTCTGGTCTGTATCCGCACTGCTGGCAAGTCCCGAGTCGCACAGGATTGAAAACTCTCACATTGCGGTCTTGATCGAGGGACTGATTAAGCAAATGCCGCTTAACAGAGTGTAGAGGCAACATCTCTCTCTAGAGAATTTTTAATGGTTTGCAAGCTCAAGCAAAATCAGGAGCAGGAAGGAAATGGTACAGTAGATTGGGAAAGGAACTTAAGCACACGTGCCTGTTGCGGGTTCTAATGTGTCCTTTGAAAGTAATTGAAAGACAGGAGAAGATTCTGCACCAGAACCCTTGAAAAAAAATAAATGTGCCAAATGGCTACACCTGATCTCACCAAGCAGGCTAGCTGGTCTGTGCTGTCAAAAATCCCCCCTTTATAAGTTAGCAGAAAAAAACATTAGTTTTACTGTTCTGTTTCCAGGTTTCTGTCATCTTGCCTCCGCAAATATCACAATCTACCTTAAGAGGTGATGCAAAAACATTTTTTTCCAAATTAGATCTGCATATCTGATAGTAAAGATTCTTCCGGTTTTCTGAACACAGGACTTGGAGCTGCAAGAAAAAGGGACCCAGCCTGCATCGAATCCAGACAGTTCTGCTTGCATGCTGTTTGTTTTCTTTGACCACCTCCCCGACATATTTGCGTTTTTGCTGCGTTTTGAGACTTCGGCAAGAGCTTTAATTAGAACTTGATTTGGACTTACATTCTTGTGTTTAATGAAGCTTATTAACAGTGGTGCAGGATGTGACCAGAGTGTTGCAGAAAACACACTTTCTTCCTGATAGGATTTAGGAATGTTTCTCGCACACTTCTGTGAAGACTGTTTTTACAGTCTAGTTCTGTTCTCTTTAGGCGGCTGCCCCTGTGCAATAGCAGTTTAAGCAGATGAAGTTCCACAGTTGCGAAATGCATGTGTGCACTCCTTCATTTTCATCACAGTGAACAGATATCGGCCCCCAGATGCTCCGACTCCAAATAGGTCCCGTTTTCAAAACATAAGGCTGCTTTTGCGGAGACGGAGAGCAGAGTAGAGGAAATGGGGAGAGACGAGCAAAGAGCTGTAGATAGATGACAAGAAGATTAGATGATGTCCTTTAAGGCTTTTCTTTATGAATCTGAAGGTCTGCAATTTTAAGTCCAGAAAACACCTTTTGATTTATCAAAAAAAACTTTAAAAAAATAACCCTTTCTCACCCCCACTCTTCCAAGTTTAAATGCAGTGTCTAATTACGTTCCTGTTTCCTTTGGGGTCTTGCAGATTGTTTTGTTTCATTAATGGGCAAGTATTTCCTGACTAGCGAGCTGACTTGAGTTGAAGCTTGTTGAACAACACATTTTATGAGTTGTGTTCAGCAGTAAGTGAGGCACCATTAAAGAGGTCTGTAAAAGCAGTTAGCACGACCCTCTTCCTAACTATATGCAAGAGTTTCAACAAAGCCTCTGTGCAAAGACTGCGAACAGCTCGTAGCAAAAAGAAAAATGTTTTGACAGGTTTTGCGCTGTCAAAAATGTACACCAAGTTGTGGGTTATGCTAAATTTAACAAGAACACAAAGGAACTGTATCCCCTTAAAAAAACATTTTTTCTTGACCATTCTAGTTGTAACAGAAATTAATACATGCTTTTGTTGAATTTAGTTTACCTTAAAACAAGCAAAAAAGCTCCACACAGGTGAATCCACTAATTTGTAGAAGCACAGCTATCTGTGCAAAATGTATTGGTTATTTTGGCTGTATTCAGTCATTTATTTGATTTAAATGTTACAGATGAATCCCATAAAAATCCTATCATGTTGATTTTTTTTTTTAAGCTTTGAAGGGGATGCAGTTCTTTTAGTTTATCATGCGATGATTGTGCCTTTTTATATATTGGGAAATTGATCAGCACAGGTCTGAGAGATGTGCCAAAAAATATTGTAAAAATATGTAAAAATACCTGGGTGCCAAAATAAGAAGTATAGGGGGATTTATGAGTGATTGTTTTCTGAAGGAAGATGTGAACACAACATTTCTTGAAAATTTTGGCACCATTAGTATCCCGTATTATAGTTTTTGCAATTTAAACTCCTTTTTTCTTAACTACAGATTGTACCCTAAAATAAACCTTACAGGGAAGACTAATAATCACTTAGCCCCTCTGTCATACACTTTCCTACCTCATTACCCGTCACCACCGCTCAGTTAACTTTTTACCTCAATGCAGTGATTGTAGAAATGTGCATTTAGTGTCAACTCAGAAGGCTGAAGGACGTAACTTGATTTAAAAAATCCAAATAGAAGTGTTGAGAATTCAAACTGTAGTTTAGTACAAAGTATTTAAAAAAGAGCCTGTTTACCAAGTTGTTAGCACATTGTGTAAAAGGGTGAGCCAGTATGGAAACAGTATTTCTGCTGCTTTAAACAAACTATCAACACTGACACGATCTTTTGGTTTCAGTATTATGTAAAACATTCAGTCTGCTTACATCATTTGAAATTAAGTTGCAGAGTTCTGTCTCTTTAAGACCTATAGGTCTTTACTCTATAAGAGAAAAATGTTTGTTATTTTAAAAATGTTTGCATGCTTTAAAAGTTCTAGTAGAGAAGCTTCTTTGAGATTGGTATTAAAAAGAAACTTCTACCATTTTTATGCTATACCAAAATATTTGTTTGGTGGGTTGCGGTGAGTGGCTTTGACTATGAGATTGTATCTCCTTTTTAAATAGCTTTATGTGTCCCATTCAAGGTATTGCAGTAATTCAGTTATTATAGTTGTTGAAATCCACATGCCTTAACACTACTGTACCGGAATGTTGTTTGACTTCTTTCCAGTGCTTACTTCTTTATACGCAATTTAAACTGCCAAAGTCGCTCTGGAACGCGTTTTACAAATGAGTTCCCTGCTTCTGCTGCCATTTGTTAAGAACTCTTAGCATCAAAACATTGCGTTCCTGCTAAATGACATGCACAGAGGTGTGGAAAATAGTGCGCATACAGTGTTCTCTGTGTATGGAAGTAAGCTTTGTGGACACATGAGCTGTCGCAGCATGTCGGAGGCCCCGGCAGTTCGTCAGGAAGCGCAGTTCCTTGCAGGGCAGTATATACGTATTCCTCTCTTCCTCAGCCAGTGCTGGTGGCAGGCTGGACCAAAGACTTGGGGATCCTGATCCCCGAGAACGAAAAGGTGTTCTCTCGGTGTCCGCTGATCATATACAAATAGTTTTGAAAAAATAGCGGATTTTAGACTGCTAAGAAAGGGACTGCCCTATGTCTTAAGGCTGTTGAATGTAATAAACATGGCATAATGTCTTTTGGGGGTAAAGACACAGCTGTCTAATGTGGTTTGATGGCCTGTACAGAGAGGAGTGAAGATGTTGTGAGGAAAGAACGACAGAGGGGGGGGAAAAAGCAACAAATTCTTCATTATTCTTCACATAGCAGAGACCTGCGCATTCTGCCCTCTGCCAATTTAAGTATGAAAGTTTAGTGAGAATGCCTAACGAATCGGAGGCACCTCCACTGTATGGGCAGCGTCTCGACAGCTGTATATTGTTTTGCAGATCACACTCCAAATTACATTATGCCAGCCTTTTTGTATGCTTTATGTAATTCAGGTAAAAAAAGATACAAGTCAACAAGTGAATGTGTTGGTGGCAGTGGCTATTTTTGCTATGCTTTACCTTGAGTGGGTCTCTGATTTCCTGTTGTACGGGTTTGCTAGCCAGTTTGGTGTATTCCATCATTTGCTTTGCCTCTTATGGTTAAAAAAGCAATGTGTACCAGTTCTTAAGTGCATGGTCTTAGACCTCTTTTAATGATTGTATAATCTTGAAAAAAAAAAGAAAAGTAAAAAAAAAAAAAAAGATACTCAGGTAGCTTTCCCGGGCCCTGGTTTTTGGGAGCCTGTTTAACTTAAATGTCGTGTCCTGTAGTGAAATAGTGACTTTCTGTTAAAACTTCAGAAGATTAGTATTTGATTTTGATTAGCATCTATACTTCTTGATCTGTGTAAGAACATTGTTGCTTTCTGAAATTCTGCGGGGTTACTGTTTATTTTGTTGTTGTTGGTTTTTGTTCCTGTGTCCATTGAAAAAACAAACAGCAAAACTGAAGGTTTCAAGGCAACCCTTTTGGAAGTTTTATTTTGAGAACAGTTCTCCTGTTTATTTAGGACACCCCCAAACTGACACAAATGGGGATTGGGATGCGTTCTGTCATGTTGGCGTTCACAAAAGAACACAAGTTTTTTAAAGAAAAGCTATATGGTTACAGCTGAATAAACCATACTATAGACTTCGCAGTTTAAAACTAAAATTGAGCAAAATTTACTAAAGAGTAAGAAGAGTAGCTCTAGTGATTTTAGAAAGATGGTAATTTGCTCTTACAAAATGTATTTTTGTGGTTCCTATTGGGCTGTGAAACGCGGAAATCTCCTCAGGCCTGATAGTCTGTCAGATTAACAACAGTTTTCATTTTTGTCCGTCAAGACCGTGAACTTCAAATGGTGCAGTGCTGACCAAGGTCTCTGCGAGCAAATGTTCTGTGCTTATCGATCACTGGTAGAAATCCTAGTTCCTCTAACTCGTCATTTTAAGTTGAATGAGGAAAAAACATTGATCGCTATTTCTCTAGAAGCTAAATCTCGCTCTTGAAATCTAGTAATGCGCATGTTGGAAGATGGCATAATACACAGTGGCTAAAATGATACAGCCCTAGAAAATCTGAATTCCTTCATCACCTTGATTCTTCTGGAGGGGTTGGTGGGCTTATGTAGCCATCTTCCTGTTGTTTTTTTAGGAAACTCCTGCTGTGTAAATCTTTACAGGGCGATGCATGACAGAGTGCCTCCCATTTCTCCCTTTTCTGTTTGTGGCCGGGTGCTCAGCATATATTCACTGAATGTATTTTCGTCACAGTCCACGAAGAGAGGCTGTCCTGTGTGACTGGCTTAGTTTAGATGGAGGCTGGTGTCGCTGCCCTGTCCCGTGGAGGAGCTCCAGCTCTGAGCTCTGGGTCTGTGGGGGGAGGGGGTTCTCACAGGGGGCCACAGTCCTGCCTCAGAGGGCTGCCTGTTAAGAGTTGGTGTCACATCTACTGTCTAAATCAGGCTAAGGAGACAATAATATATTGGTTGCCTGCAGCCTTTAAACAAACTTGTTGTCTTTGTGGACTTTAAACGTTTCCTATGCAGTTATGATTTTGTTTTTGTTTACACTTAAATAAAACTTGTATTTCTTGGATCTCGGCCTCGTGTCTTCATTTGTGTTTTTGCTCTTCCCCTCCCGGCTTAAGCAAACTCAACCTTTAGGACTCGAGCGTTCGTGGGCCGACTGGGCTCCTGCGGGGCCCTTTCCGATGTTAATTTCCAGATTGTTGCAAAACAAGTTGCGTGTAGTTGCTGAAATAATATTCTCCCTCAACAGGATATCCATTAAAATCACTGCGTCCAAGAGTGAACTTGTACCTTGTACTAAATTATTTTCAATAATTTTTATGTAAGTGTTAAGTTTGTGTGCATGAAGTTCTACTTGCAATTTAACTGCAACTACAAGGTGTGAAGTGATGGGAGTTTTCTCGTGTCATCCTCTAAGCGTGCGAGTTTAACAGCATGATAATAACCCTTACAGCCCTTTTATTATCTGCCTGGAAACTGGTACAAGCTACTAGATCTTTACTTATGTTATCAGTCCGTCCAATCGTATTTAAATGTTCCAGACTTATAACCTTTTTATTGAAGCAGGAGTGTGATATTTGACTGTAGCTAAAGGCTCCCCAGCTTTCAGGGGTTGAAAAAAGCTCATCTGAACTTCCTTCGGAGCCCTGCCAGTAAGCTCTTGGGATCAGTGGTCACACTGCCTTCTCTTTGTTCACTGTGTGGTCTTGACATCTCAAGAGCTGTCAGCTACTTTCCCAGGAACGCGGCTTTTCTCATGCAAAATTTCCGGCACGTTGTGTGTCAAGCGGTCCTGTTGACACAGAGAATGTAACGGAACCGTATTAAACCACCATTCTTTCCCCCCACTTCAGTCAAAGATGGGCACGGGCATAATTCAGCATTAGATGGGAAGCAGAGCAACCCAAAACAGTGCACCTTCATCACGGGGCAAAACAAGGCTCTTCATGCAAGGGGATGGGGATCACTGTAAGTAGATCCCGTTTCATAAGAAAAACACTTAAAAGTTCCCATTTTTAAATCGGTAGCTTCTGATGGGAGTGCATAGTTTACCTACGGTAATGGAGCATTTTCCACAGACTGGCAGGAGTTATTTAAATGTCAGTTTTCACAATCAAGGTGAGCTAACTCCTGCGGTTTGAGAAACTGGCTGCTGGTGTTGGTGGTGTGAAAAGAGACTTGGACAAGGCCACAGAAGAAGAGGCATCGCAGGCACAGGGTTTCCTTGATGAGAGTCAGGAAATCCTGGTAAAAAATCTACAGCCAGACAAGAACACAAATCTTACAGCTACCTGTGTTTTCCTTTCCTTGAGTTGTGAAGAACACTTCTCCAGGATGTAATCAAAAAGTCAATTTCAACCCAACCAAATAAGCTTAGATAGGATGAACAATCTCCTTCCAGTCTTGTTCATTCTGCCAAAATGTTACTATTAAAAAAAAATCTACTTATAGCTGATCACTGGCTTTCTGCAGTTTCAAGGTTTATTTCCACAGTTTCAAATTTGTTGGTAATTTTTAGTCTTAAAACTATAAAATGGATCATGTACCTTATAACGCTCACGCATGTTAAACATTTAAACTTGTATTTATTTACGCCTGCATATGGACATGATGCTTTTTGGCTGATGACTTAAAAATAAAAAGTTTTAATGAAGGGCGGTGCTCTGCATATTTTGAAACTTCAAAGTTATGACAATGTTTTTGTGTGTGTGTGTGTGAGAGACTCAGTTCTAAATATTTAATCTCATTATACACATCTGCCTGCTATTTTGGCATATAGACGTTATTTTTTTAATCTGTAATGTCTAGTAGCCCTGATTAAAAGCAGTAAACAACACATGATTACTGAAGTTACGAAAATCAAACGCATATCTTAAAGTTAACAATAATAAAGTCAAAGTCTGGAATGTAAAATAAGACTTACACAACAAAGCTGGTACAATAGAATCATACCCTGGAGTCTTTAAGAGCTCATTTGGTTTTGTAATTATTCAAGTCAATTGAAACATGCGTTTCCATAAACAGTATTTGTTTATTCTGTTCCTCTATCTGTCCTTAAGGTGATTGGAGGTGGGGTTTATAGATTTATTTACAAATTCGCTTAGTAATGAGGGCAGTGTACAAAAACTCTTTACTAATCCAATAAGGTGCTTACCTGCTACTAAGCAATATGGTAGTACAACTGAGAACCATATCCATCAATGCATTGAGGCACCATTAACAGTTTGACAACCTACTCACACATTTCTCTACCCAATAGTGCTCCCTGGGGCTGTGGAATTGGAAACCTGAGTGAAAAGGTGTGTCATCTAATTTGGAATTGTATGGGTTTGGAAAATAGCCCATTGCCTGCCAGGACAGGCTGTGGCTCCCCAGCGATCCTGTATTGTGTGAAGCCGCTAGAAAATGGATGGTTGGGAAACAGTAAACTTGCCTTCTCAAAAGCCACTGCCCGGGAGTCCGACAATCCTGCTGAGTTGAGACGATTCTCTGGCGACTTTCCACTGAATCAGATTGCATTTCAACGGAGTGTGGTGTAATAGTGTTTCTTTGTCAGGGAGCTATTTAAATTATGTTCATGCCCAATAACAAAAAAAAGCTTACAAAATTACATTCATGAATAAACTGTGAAATTCTTAAATTTTAGAACATTAACTGTGATCGGTTTTAAATTCAAGCAGTTTGTGTTGAGCTAATCCGTTTTTTTGTAATCATCTGAGATGCTCTGCCATGTCTTTTGTTACAGACACTGTAAGTGTGGTATGTAGGCAACCCTGGTACCCACCGGAGCTACTCTGGGTATGTTCTGATCTCAGTTAAACACAAGCGCTACTGCAGAACTTTAAATCTGCAAACGGACTTTTTAAGAAATTTTTACTACATTCATGCCCATCCATCCTTGTTCTCACCCTGTCTACCAGCTGTCATCTACCTGGTCTAGTCTAGTCTTGAATGCTGCCTAAACTTTTTAAATTTAATTTTTCTAACCCTCCTCATTTAACAATCTGCAAACTTGACTAGTTCACTAACAAGTCAGGAATCTAGCACGTGGACATAAATTAAGAAGAGCAGAGTGGCTCTAGTAGACATCCCTGCAGGACTCCCCTAATTGCATCTCCCTAATTAGTGAAGGTTTATTCCATGCTGAAAAAGAAGAAAAAATACACATTTCGGCTGTTGAGCCTTTTTCGGGGGGAAAAAATCCCACCAAAGACTCATCAACCACACGGCCGGACAGCTGAATCCAGACAGCCCACATCCTGAGCACAAGAAATACCTCCCTCTTCCACTTGGCGTTTATTGGACCTGAGTGATCTTTTAATCTCCATGCGCCACACACAGCCTGCCTTGTCTGGTGACTTTCATCTGTATTACTCAGCTTTTTAAGGACAAAATCAAGTTGGTTTGTTTTATGACACTGAAAAAAATGTGAACTGAAAATGTGAAAAAAAAGAGGACGCTCTAGGTACCAATAACTGGCTATATGCTTTCAACCAAGACTCAAATTTGGGTCCCCTTGTGGCAATGAGTCCAATCTATCCTTTAATGACTGAACTCCTTTAAGACTTGATGGTGTTCTTTTCATTTTTTTCCCCCACTTTAGACAGCCACTAATGGAAATCGTAGAGCCCATATATCATCAGATCAAGCTTATATCTTTATAATAGCCAAAATGATTTGGCTTAAGTGAGCTGAATGTGCATTAACACAGTACAGCCCCAAATTATACAGTTACACTAACGTTCAGTGGTTGAAGTCCTGTTCTTTTTAAGTGTTCCCTCAATGCCATATAGATGCTGCTTGTGCTGAATGAGACTTGCAGTAGAATTATAGGAGTTTGTCATTAAAAAGGCATGCTACGTAAAATGTTTTTAATTTTTTTGTTACAGCTTCTTTCAACAGATGTCAAATGTTCAGAAGTTTATCTAAAAAGAAAAATCATTTTCAACACCATCTAGGCCTGTGTGAAAGTACTCCAATGCCTTTTTCTTTGCACAGGGAAGAAACATCTATTCACCATATAATCCAATTCATAATAATTCCATCAGAGTGGGAAATCTAAATATTCCACTTCATTTTTTTTTTACGAGGGGGAGGGATTAGCATATAAATAATCCATTTAAATGGGCAATTAAAAAACACAAGTACTAGTCTTGTTCCTTAGGAGCACAAGTCCGCAGGGCCGAAGGCTCTCATTTGCGCTGCACGGTTGTGAAGGCTGGCATCTGAAGGGGCTGGATTTGCGGAAAGACTCCGGGTTTCTTCCGCACATCGGGAGCCGGGGTCTTGACAGAGGGAAGTAGCTGATTCCTTTTTATTATCTGCAGTGCCAGCTGTGTGTTTCCTAAAGAGCCCCCCCCCACCAAAAAAAAAAGCTTGTTAGGCTCCTCATTCACATGCGGCTGTCACACTTCTTCATTGTGGACAGACTCGTCCCACTGTTGGGAGTCGGGGACAAAGGCACAGCTGCCTCTCACCCCAACAGCACCCCCACCCCGGCTCTGGGAGAGAGACCCGCTGCAGGGGAGGGCCAGCACTGCAGCCAGGGTTCGCTACAAATCAAGTGTCCTTCAAGGAGCAAACGCTCCCTCTGTGTGGTCTTTTTGTGCTGAGGATCATGGAGGAAAATGCAAAGAACTATTTAACCTGTAACCAAGGAGCAACTCAGGCTTGAGCCTACACAGGCCTGTTGCACTGGACACAACCTTGTACTTTTCCGGACGTCTGAAGCTCTCAAAACCATTGTGGCAGTGGGTTTAAGTGCTAATGGATCTGCTGTACCTCAATTTGGAAAGCTTCCGTTGAGAAGAAAATCCCACTTTTATGTACCCTGGTAATACCAGGCCATCAAACTCCAATAATTCCTTAACGTTAATATTTAACAGAACAAGTAAAGGTTTATTCCATGCTGGAAAGAGAAGAGACACAATGTTTCGGCTGTGGGGTATTCAGGGCACCTGAAGAATAAACCTTTACTTGTTCCTTTGCAGCCTACGCATGTACATAGCTCCCTACTTGAACTAGTTAATATTTAATGTTATTTTCTCTACCATTTTTACCTCCACATTCATCAACAGAAACTACAATAGCACACAGATCTTTTTAAGGAATGAAACATGTTATACTGAGACTTTGTGTTAACCATGCCATTAGCCGTCGGCAGATATACTGGCATACTGCGTGATGCCTAAGTGAGGGTTCCCCCATGATAGGCCATATTTACCATTCTGTAGCTCCAAGTACACAGCGAGTAAAATGGCCTCTGGAGGAATCTCCTTCGTGTGCACCAGTGAGGCCGCCTGTTTCAGGGCAAGAAATATTAAACACATTAAATCGTTCATGAAAGACTTAAGATAGTATAATGAGAAAAATAAAAATGAACTTGTTGGTTTAATTACCATTTACTGCTAAATCTCTAGAGCACATTACTGAAACTGTGCCACTGTACACATCGTTACGGTGCTGCTTAACACTTGTGCTGTCTTTGGTCCAGGCACAACCACATTACGGAGACTGCGCAGATTAAATTTTCCTTATTGCTCTTCTCATCTGTCTTACGGCTCCTTTACCCAATGAAAGCTTTAGAGATTGTTTATCACCATACACTTTGGCCTTGAGTGTAATCTGTCCTAGGTCTTTCTAGTGCAGCCCTGTCTAGGTTTGAGCTGATTACCATTAGTTTGCTTCTGTAGGTAAAAGCCTTTCTCCCTCTGTCACCATCAAGGCCGCCGTCCTACAGGAATCTATTCTTTGTCCAAGCTCTTCTAGCCTTTAGCTTATATTCTTCAGGACCAAATGCCTCCTTTCAATTTCTTGCCGACAATTTTAGACGTCCTTTGAATCCTCATACAGAGCAGATGCCTTTTGAAGGCCGCGTCCAGTTGATAAAAAGCAACGGCAGGATATTAGCTTTTTGCAATTAAAAACAATTTCAGCCATGCCACCTGCATGGAAGAGTGGTGTTATATTAGACTCCAGGCTCTCGCTGGAATCTCAGATCAGCCAGGTGGTGAAGTCTCCTTCCTTCCACCTGTGCACAGCGGCCTGCCTTCATTCCTACCTCAGCATGCCTTTTCACAAACGAACCTATTGTCTGTAGACTTAACTGGTGGACTTGTGCATGTAGCTGCACACTCACAGAAAACCCATAGAAAGATGTAATGAGTTCAGAAGGCTGCACCTGCAGACTTCTCAATCATACTAGAAAGAAACATCACATCCCCCATCTGTGTTCTCTTCCCTGGCTTCCAGTGCATTCCTGGGTAGAATTTTATTTTTGTACCTTTGCATAGAAGAGTCGTTGGTCCCTTCAGCACCTACTTGTGTTCTTAGGTCCTCCATAAATCACTGAATGACAATACTTTTAGGGTCTACACCAGTTCAGTTCAGTTTATTGCCATACGCACTAGTGCAATGAACTGCTTACTTGCATGTATGTTTCAATACAAAGATATTAAGGAAAGAACAAACAGAAAAGCAACAGCAGCAACAAGTTAAATAACAAAACTTTAAAAAACACATCAATGTGAGCCAGTGGTAGGGGTAGAGTTCAGTAATCTGACAGCTTGTGGCAAGAAAGTCTCTGAATCTGGATGTTCATTCCTTTATGCTCCTATAACGCTAACCAGAGGGAAATGGGGAGAACAGAGAGAAACCAGGATGGTGGGATCCTTAGAGATATAAAACTTGTGCCTTAAGAGGGAATCGAACCCACAGCTCCGAGATGCACCAACGCGCTGCTCAACAGACCCAACAGACCTGTGGAATTTACTGCCTCATGGCATCAGAAACCCAGCGCCCCTCACTATTCTTTCAACCGAGCTAAAACCGCTCTTTTTAAATGGGCTTTTATTAATGTGCTGATGTATTGTCACTGCAAAACCATGGTGCCCTGCAATGCATTTCTCCGTAATCTGTCAGTGGACTTGGCTCATTTCGCGAAGCTCGTCAGGACGCGATCCCAACGCGAACAGCACTGCAGGTGCAAGAGCGACACTGGAAGCACGAGGAGGGGAGGCCGTACCTGGTGGAGGCACTTGCGGGCTTTCTCGTACTCGCTCCTCAAGCAATAGGCGCTGCCCAGATTGAAGAGCACCATGGCTCTGGCGGAGGACACGGAGCTGGGGTAGCAGAGCGGGGTCTGCTTTCCTGCTGCAAGACACAAACCGGCCATGAGAACGTGAGCAGGGATTCAACACTCTTACAGGGCTGCTCGGCGGTCTGTGTCGAAACTGTAGCTCTCTAAAGGAATATGAAGCACGTAACAAATTCTCCTATAACACCTTAACAGTTAACAGTGTCTTGCCAAAGTAATCATTCCCTGACAGGAATATTGCAGTCTGATAAATTACAATATATCATTACTTTCAAATTAATTTTGAGACTATAATGATCAAAACGAACACTGAAACATGTGGAAAAACCTGCAAAAATAATCATGTGAAATGCACAAACTGCTGAAGTATTCAGTCTCTCAAGTCAGCACTTGGTTAAGCACTACACTGTAAACAGGCGCCGCCCTTCGCAAGAGATGTAAAACCGAGGTCCTGACTCTCTGCGGTCATTAAAAAACTCCAGGGCGGTTCTCGAAAAGAGTAGGGGTGTATCCCCGGTGTCCTGGCCAAATTTCCCATTGGCCCTTACCAATCATGGCCTCCTAATAATCCCCATCTATGAATTGGCTACATTACTCTGCTCTCCTCCCCACTGAGAGCTGGTGTGTGGGGAGCGTTCTGGCGCACTATGGCTGCCGTCGCATCATCCAGGTGGGGCTGCACACTGGTGGTGGTGGAGGGGATCCCCATTACCTGTAAAGCGCTTTGAGTGGAGTGTCCAGAAAAGCGCTATATAAGTGTAAGCAATTATTAATTATTATTATTATTATTATTATTATTATATCATCAGCACTTTTTGGCCTCATCTGTTTGGAGAAGATTCTAAATATAAAGCCTTATTTGAAAGAGAAATAATCTCAATCTTAGCAAAAACTTGGAAACTCTGCAGGGGATGAATGCTTTTGCAAATCAGTGTATATGCTTATTTTGTTATCATGTTGTGTTAGTTTTGGAATTCACTAAAGCACAAGAATACAGTACAAATGCAACTAATAATGAACGGAGAATTACTTACAGGACTCCACTGGCTCATTTTCCCCTTTGTCAGACCCTACCGAGAAAACAGCAGCTGTTAATTAACACTACAAAATCACATCTGCTTTAACAGCTCCACGTTACTGTGTCTAGAAGTTCTCCACCTTCATATTTTCTTAATATCAGTTCATAAATGTTTCACTAATAAGTTTCCTTTCAACCCATTTATTACATGCTCTGATCAACAGTTAATATTTAAAGAAATTAATATCATAAAAACAGGACATTTTAAAGCCTCAGCGACAGGGTTTATCTCCAGCACCACCACTGAAGATTTTGCAGGAGTATTTTTTAATTATGAGGTGTAATTCACTGATTAAAACTTCAGAAAAACACAGGGAAGATCAGGTTAAAAAAATCTAGGTGCTCTGTTATTACAGGAAGAAAGTAACACTTATGAAATTGATCTAGGTCTTTCAAGAAGCATTTTTAAATGTGTTAGAATTTATTTTTAATGTTAATAATATCTAACTCAGTATAAAGGTGCACTTTAAAATGCATTATTATATGAGAGTTTATATTGGATATAACAGAGTGATTATATTTCACATGGTTTCTCATAGTGGTTTGAAGTAATCACAACCTAAAAACAACTTTTATTTATATTGACATTAAAACTTTACTAAATATGGATAAAAACAGTTCCTCGTAGTACAACAGATGTGTTGAACACACAAAGTTTAAAAAACTTATAAGGGACGTAGATCAATGAAACGAGGAGGTCTGTAAATCTGACGGACAAAGGGTGATGGGGCAGAATTTGATAAGAAAGAAAAATAAAACCTTTAACAGCAATCGGATATCTCTTTAAAAAAATGAGAAAAAACACAGAGGCAAACAAAGCTCACAATCTGCACGTGTTGTAAGTTAAGGGTTGTGTCAGGGAAGCAGCTTGAAGCACGAGCGGTTTTAATCAAGTGCCGACTCATTAACCTTGATCCTGCTCGTTTGGAGAGATCCCCAGGGATACGTCGGTGACGTTCTCGGGGTTCAAGTGAGTGATGGCATCGGAGATCCTGTCCAAGGAGATGAGTGCTTCTGCTGCATATAGGTGTCCCAGAAACCTATGCAAACACAGACATGTGGCAGCAAATTCCCACTAACAACTAAAGAGACCATTTTAAGTTCTTTAGACAAAGCCTGGGTCTAGTATCACACTAATGCATGCATCCTGCAAACAGCCGAAGGATTTGTTCACAGTTAAGATTTCACTACTGTTCCATTGTTACAGCTACTAATGATTTTAACAATTCATTATTTTAATCATATATTGAAGTCCTGTTTTCAATATGTGTATAATATTATGTACATCATAGCTATACAATAATAGTCTGGAAGAGCCAAATGAAGGCACTTAAATGCATCTTTATTTAGTTTTTCCTCAATTGTCTACACAAAATCAAATGAAATTTAGAAGTGCTTGTCAACCCCGAATTAAGTTATTAAAAAGCAATTAAAAAAATCCTCATTCTGTGCTTTTTTGCAATTTCTGTTGAACGTCAATTCAAAAGAGAGCTAAGTAAAGAACCCACAAATGAAACAAGTACCTGAAATAAGAAAGCTAAGAAAAATGTAGCCAATAAATAATCTAATTTGCATTCATAATAATACAGAATTTCAGCGTAAAACAGCTGAACAGCTGTTTTAGGAAACACTGCAAGCTCAAGGTAGAAATAACCAAACCCTTCAAAAGATCAAAAGAGTTCAAGTATTGGGAGTGACATGAGATGTTTATCACATCTGTATAGGCAATTATAAAAAATGACACCACTTCAAAAGTGCACACATCAAGGACCATTTTCCTTCCCTACATGAAATGGGGAAACAGCCTCCCATCTTAATAACATAATAGGTCACGGGGGTGACACTGGAGGGGTAAATTTGTAAAACCAAATAAATCATCCCTGAGTCATTAAGAAGACGTCCGCGTGTGCTGGTATCCCATCAATCACAGCAGGGATATGGGGGCAGGGGCAGGAAGACTCACAACACCCTCTCCATTAGAAGGACAGACAGAAAGGGATACGTATAAGGCACAAACCAACGGCACAAACGTACTTCAAGGATCCCGACAGCTTCGTCTGCTGCAGCAGTTTCTCTGCGTGATTCAGCGCCATCAGGTTGTCGCCCAGAGCCAGAGCGACGTAGGCACTGCAGGCCAGGATGCAGCACCTGCCAACAACAACACAGGTCAGTGGCAGCCTCACCAGTCCAGCCAGCTGACAGTAGTCTGGCCGGCGGTCACCAGTTCGGCTACCAGTCACCAGTCCGGCCAGCGGGCACCTCGCAAGTCTCACAAGCTTCTGCCCGAAGCGCCACAGCAGCAGTGCTGACCGAGCAGGTCACTCCCGCACCAAGATCTCAGGTCCTGAAGAACTGGGTTATTTTTAGTCCTTTAATCCTGGTTTGTTTAAAAAGGGAGCGAGTACGAGTTTTTACAACTCACTGGGTTACGAGGGGTTCACAGTGATAAGTTTTAAGATTGAGCATTTGACACAACAGATGGGAACCATCGCTCTGGATATCACAAACCAAAAAATTTACAATTAAATTATTTTTTAAATTAATTAAAACTATTTACACATTTAAACCGGCCTTCGTGATATTACAAAATGAATGAATACAGCCTAGTTTTTACAGGAAAATAACCAAATTAATCCAGAAGAAATTTACTTTGCTTGTCTGTTGTGAGACAAGTGAGCTTTTCTATATATGTGATACAGGGAGATCAAGCTAAAAATCCGATACAAAATTGAATGCATCATTGATGGAAGGCAGAAGACTCCTTCCTAGTACCAGTGAGCCCTTTCTTTTTATATATTAAAAAAATGTAATGTCTGTTTTCTTCCCCATCAAGGACATGAATCAGAATATCCTTAATTCTGAAATAACACAATCAGTCCATTCATAAAGACTGCCAGCACATTACAATTCAACACGTCAGAAATTCAACATTTTTACTTGCTCTACACTGCATGCTGAAAATAAATGTGCGCCTTATCTTGTTCAACAAAAACAAATATATAATTGACTGCAAATGAACAGCTGTTATTTTTTAAAAGTGTTATATAATATACTAAAAACACTTCAGTTAAAAAAATGAAAACCTTAGAAAAGCGTTTTCAGAGGGCTATAGACGTTACACCAAAGAGAACACAGAAATCCCTATTACCAGAAACCCCCACCTATACAGGCTCTTGTTTTACAACTCAAAGGTCTACAATAGCCTTTTTTAAAAGGTAGAAAACAAGGTGCCTCAGCAACTACAACCCCCATTGCCAGTAACACAACAGGCCCTGGAATTCCAGGAAAGAAACCCGAAGCAAAGGACCAGCCTCCTCATAAACTTGTCACAGAGCAGGGTGCCAGGCCAAATGTCAGTCCTTTATTCCAGACCTCTCCCGACTACAACAGGAGGCTGATGAAATTAAGACTGTCAGCGGGGGAAACCTTTTTCCAATCAGGCTTACAGAGAAACAAAACAGGAGAAAGGAAAAAAAAGGCTGTTGTGCTACAGGTTGAAGTGAGTTATATTACTTCATAAGGCTAGGTGTAAGATAAAGAACACTGTGACTGGGTAACCACAGCTGGCCGTAACAAATACCCAATAAAACACTATACTACACTATAAAGCATGTCTTGGGGGCTGTTTAAAGGCTGCGAAATAAGAGAACTGGGCTTTTAAAAGAGAAACAAAATCTCAGAAAACAAGTTCTAAAAAATAATGCATTTTAAAAAGCTAAAAAGAAACAAATGTTAACTTTACATGTGTGTTTTACAGCAAAGTAAAAGCCAAGATTTTCTTTGACACCCACACATACTAAGTGGATTTGAGTGCATTATTACACTCTTTATTATTACATTTATTTTAGCAATGTTATTGGAATATTAAAACTTCCACTGATTGCACCACAGAAGACTTGGATTATCCTGTACAACCCAAAACACCAGTTACTGTATATTCCACTTATTTATTACCATTCTTATTTATTCTAAACAAAGCTCCAATCAACTAGATTTACATTTGCACACTGCAAGGCTTATTTTTGTATTCTGTAAGTAACGGCTTCAAGTGGTATTCAACAGATAAAGAACTGTAAAGACAAAGGACAAACTCCTTTTCTAATGATAAGTGGGACATCTTCCAGTATTTGCAATTAATGGCTGTTCTCCGACCAACTCTGCCAGGTGAAAAAACTTTCCTGGGGGTATAATGAGCCCATTAAATCAATCATTGTCTCAGCAGGGTGGGTGGATTTGTGTGGAGACAATGCTGATTGAAGCGTGGCCTTTAGATTCCGTGTTAAAACCACTTCCTTTGAGAGGACTGTTAAAGATCTCATATCACTAAATGGGTGCCAGCAGGTAGGCTGACCCTCCTTCCCTGATGCATTAGGCCCGGAGGAAGTCTTTAAAGCCACGTGCATTTGAATGGGCCCATGAAACAGGATTCAATTCCTCTGTCCGCGCAGCTTAACACATTCATCACTTGCACATACAGTATTCAAATTGTTCTTTTAATAAGTTTAAAAAAATCTTTAATTACACGAGGATGTGTGGAAAGACTCCTTTCATGGAAGCACGCCATGGTAAAAAGAGAATGGGCAGTCTGTGCGATACGTTTGCCTTGTGTAAGTATTGCCCAAACTTGACTGTTTACTGAGAAAATCTCTACTAATGTTTCCCAGATACTCTTTTCATTGCACAATGCCTATAAAAATGCAGCAAAGGCATTACATCACTCAATATGCTAGTGAGATATCCAAACAAATACACCCAAATAGATTATTTCTTCAACACAGTATGAATGCCAAAACTTGCCACCATCACCATATGGCTACAATATAACAGCAACAAAATCCTCTTCAACCATTTTCAGCTCTTCACCTTTCAAGCAGGAGGGATGAGCTCCAAAAGTCTGTTTACAAAAATTAGTTACAAAACTAATCTGGGACCAGTCCAGAGAAGAGCACCAAGATACATTCCTGACTTAAATGGAATGTCCTACATGAACAGGCAAAAATAAATGAACCTTTTTTTAGTTTTGAATCAAAAAGACATGAGCGGTCTACTTAATTAACTTCTTCAGCATCAACACTTAAAGACAACCTGTAAGACACAAGAGAAACAGCAAACACGTCTACATACAGTTAATGGGAATAAGTTGACCAGCCACATGACCAAAACTGATAGCCTGGCTTCTTTCAACACATGGTTGCCCGGTTGGTCCCAGCATCAAATCTACAAGCCACCAAATAAGTTAGATATGTCAAATGGCTTGCTCTCATTTGCAGTGTTTCACATAACCTTACGATTTTCAGACATTAATTTGTTTTATTCGCAAATCTAGAACCTAGTGAGAAAGCCTATCATGTCAACAATTAAGACAATGACTAGAGGTGCGCTACTCTGTCTTCAACAGCATGTGACGATCTACAGACAACAGCTATTTGAACACAAGCCAGGAAAGTGATGGTATCACTATAAAACCACTAGAAACTGGGGAAGGTGTGACGCTTATAAACAAAAATTAAATCAACAAAAAAACACATTTTTGTTTATTCTGGTGAGGGTGAGGTTTTTACACCTCTCTGGTGCATGATCAGTATTCTGATGAGAATTGTTTTGTGGTATTAATATTATATTAATTATAAAGGGGCCTAAAATCAGCTTATGACTCAGTGGTTTTGCCGTGACATCGTAACGAGCAGCCTGACTTGCAATGGCGGAAAGGTCACTACACTTCACAGAGTTATTTCTGTTCTCATCTCACCTCAGGTTTTCAAGCTCTTGCTTTCTGAGTGGGGAGGATGGAGCAGCTGGAATGAACTTATCTCCCTCCTGGCCTTTACTGCTGTAAAAGAGGGCAGGAAAGAAAATTAGGGTTTACAAAAATAGCTGCTTACAGGATGTGATAAATACCTGTTTAAACAACACACGGTGACATTTGGTACCTGACATGACTGTACACGAGGTATTCGGACTGTCAGGTGAAGTGTTTTCTGTGCAGTTCCTTAAGCTGGCGTGCTTAGACTACAACAGAGCGGTTCTGCGGCTGCCAGCTGAATCTAAAAACCCGAACACATCGTGGCTGCTGATCCTCTTGCCCAGCTCTGCCCAAACAAGGAGGCTGTAGCTCTATGAGCTGCTAAACCCAACGTCCAGTGCACCAACAACACCGCTGAGAGATCCTGAGAGCTCGCGAGAGGGCTGGCCAGCAGAGGAAAGGGTTTAAAACACTCGAACCTGCAGGCTTCGCTGCTCTCACTGCTGCTCTCCACACTGCCCGACTGGCTGGAACTCTTGGAGCTGTTATCAGACTTGGCTTCCTGTTGGTGCTCAGGCAGCAGCAGCAACGCGTTCCTCAGGCAGATCGCTGCGAACTCCATGCTGGCCACGGGAATCGCAGCAGACTGACCATCACTTCCCAAAAAGGAAAACAGAAACCAAGATACAAGCTTGCTTCTATTTTTGAGATCCGAGTCCTGAATAAGAGGTCGCTTATTTTCAAAATTATGTCAGGTTCACATATGAATCATACAAAAACTAAACATCTGATTTCGTGAAACTACTGTCTGCTCAGCATGAGTTTTTGACTATATAATCTGTAACTCAGATAATCGAGCCCTGGATTAGCATTTATCAGTGTTAATGAAACCAGTCCAAATTGAGCTAAATCGCCCTCTAGTGGCAAAAAGACTAAATGCAGCCCAGTGCTCTTTGGTATTAACCTACTGTACTTAAATTGTGACCTTGGTCAGCGTATACTAACGATCAAGATTAAGTTAGACCTGCAAAACATTTTCTGTGCATGTTCTTTACACAAGGAGGAGTAAAAATGATGATGAAGTCCTAACAGAGAAATAAAACGTAACTGGGAAAAGGACTCTTACTTAATTTCCACTTTTTCTGATCATAGTTACTAAAACTGTGGGGGTCACAGCAACTCAGGCAGCTTTTCATGAGCTATATAACGGCAGGAAATTAAAGCACCTTGACTGTCAGTAAAGAAGAAAATATGAAATAATATATTACACCCACTAGCAAAAGAATGACAGCTTACTGTAGTTAAACTGTTCCTTAAGCTAACTTAAATAATGATCCCATTTTCTTAACATACAGTAGGTCTTTTGAAAACTTTTTTTTACTTGTAAACGGTGTTCTGTGTAGACTGTGACGCCAGGACAATCTTGCGATGATACCCTTGCCCCACAATCGACTGTACAATGCCCTTTTTGCTGGGAAGGCCCTTGGTCTCCTGTTCTGAATTCTGAAAAGGAAAACAGGACAGAAAGTGTGAAGCACAGGAAAACTAGGAAAGGACCAATGTTACAGGGGATTCATTTCGAGAAACTAGATAAGCTTTGCATTTCTTTTATTGGATTTGTAAAAACACACAGCACGTTAGCAAAGCACCGGTACCGCGCCCACGCTGTCCTCACCCCCTTGTTGGCTGCGATACAGCACTCGGCCAGTCGGAGCCACAGCCGGGAGTTCGAATGATACACCTGAACGGCCTCAATCAGGCACTCGAAGGCCGCCAAGGGCCTGCCGATGTGCAGAAGCTGGATCCCGCAGTTATACAGCAGCTCATACTGTTTGTTGGCCAGGAGAGTGCACATGGGTATGCCGGAGAACTTCTTACCTGAAAGCAAACAAAAGAAGACCAGTGAGAGGAAAGCCCATTATTTATTCTGTAAAGAAGCCACGGGTTTTCAACAATACAGCTGGAAAAATATCTGGGAAAAACATACCCTGCCCATTGCTGCTGGCAGATAACTGCGCACACGTGTGGTCATTTTCCTGCAGGGCCTTCTTGAAGTAGAAAATGCCCAAATTGTGCTTTCCCATCGCAAAATGTATGCAGCCGAGATTGTTCCAAAACATGCACCGAACACATTCCCCTGAAAAGGCAGCATTCACGTGTCTTAATATCTTTACAACATTTTCAATTCAATATTCAAACAGATTTCATGCGGATAGAAAAATATATGAAATGAGACGTTTTAGCAATGGTCAACAAAGTGTGACAAATTAACATCTTGATGACAATAAATACAATATAATACTAACATCTATATCTATACATTTCACCTGCATTAAAGTATATGTCAATGAAAGAAACAGTTACCAGTTTTCATGACCCCAGGGTGTTCTGCAATGTTGGAGCTATTTAAGAGCTTTACTGCTTTCCTGTAGTTACCCCTCAAATATTCAAAATTGCTCTTCAGAAAGAGGGAGGGGGCAGACTGGTGGAGGGGAAAAAAATGTTATCAAAGACAGGTTTTAACAGTTGATATCAATGCAAAAAGCACTCAGCCTGAAGCTGGCAAACATACCACAGTAGATTAAAAAAGAAGGCCCCACAGTCAAAAAGAAGTGTTTCTTTCCTTTTATCTTTCAACATGAAATAAACCTTCACCTGCAAAACTGGGTATTATTCTATAGTTAAAAAAAATCAACAGAGAACTACGTACCACCTTACAAATGTAGACTGTGTAAATTAACCTTATCGCCATCAAGGAATCTTAGCTACTGCAGTGAAATAGGAAGTAAAATACAGGTGCACTTCATACACCCCCCAGTACAGCAAAATGAAACACTCGGGTTTCGGGTTAAAACAATTACGAAAACACTGCATACACTTACATTTCCAGCTGTGTTCATAACTGACTTGATCTCCCTTTTACAGGCCTTCAAAGACTTCATTTGAATATAAGCTCTTACTTTATACTGAAAAATAAAACATAACAGATTAAGCAACTCCTCATCTAAATAAAGTCAGCGGTCGTCTCACAACACTAAGCAAACTGCTTTGCCATTTACTCTGGTCAGCTGTCAAATCAAGCTGCATCTCACAGCTGACACTTACAGCATTAAGATAACAGAAGACTCCATTCCTAGCCACTGTGATAGTCTGAGCACTTTCCCTGTTAAGAAGTGGAGGCAGCAGATGCTTCACTGTGACTTTCAGGTAGTTCACACACATAGAACTACATTAAAGAGAGCTTTACCACACTTATGTGTATCACATTCCTTTGAATCCCTGTGTTTAAAAATGTTTATATCACCTACCTGGTGAATTTTTGACTTGGCTGCCTCAATCATTGCGATATATTCTGCCTTGTGGTTTGCTCCTTCTTTGTTTGCATTGTTGGCAGCCTGTTAGATTGTCAGAAAGAAACCAGATTTGTATATCACTGCTGATTACGGTTAATAACGTAGGCCATACTTGTAAAGTACCAACCCCCACAACCTGCATAAACCTCGAGTGAAACACAACATTCTTTGTGGACATGGATAAATACAATGTAGTGTTGAAGTGTCTCTGACTTGCACCAACATACCGATGCTGCTGTTCCCAACACAAGCTGACTTATCAGCTTCTGATGCAGAACCAGGCTGTGATATGTCAGTAGCACAAGACTTCCAGTTTAAACAGATACTAACCACAAATTTTAATGTGCAAATTGTTGACTGGCGATAGCTTCCAAAGAAATTCAAATCCTTCGTGAACTGTAACCAAAATTGATTTTAAAAAGGAAATAGAATAAAATGAAATTAAATAAATTAAAAAGGAAATAAATGAGGAAGTAACACTGGCATTATGCACACATTACAGGTAGTTTTCTTAAAAGAGGTAGCTGTTTCTATAAAAAGAAGGATTGAATGAAACTGAAATTCATGTAAACAATCGCAGTCACTACATGTGAAGTTGGCTATATTCTCTTGTTCACACACTGGGAACTAGCCAAATGGTCTCCTTACTTTGCACACCAAACATGTTCAAAAGCTAATGTACTGAAACTCTAATAAATGCAATGATTCTGTCTCATGAAAATATGCTTTTCAGAAATCTACAACAGCAGTTCCCAAACAAGGGGATTTATTAAATGGTGGTGTTATTGTACACTGAACTGCTCCCGCCCTTTTAATTACTATTAATTGAATCAACTGCTAAATGGGGCAAAAATTATTTGGGGGAAGATGATCATGAAAAATATGTAGGAGCAAACGTGCGTTTATAATGGAAGCACACCAAGCAGATCTATGCACATTCTGTGACTAAAATGAATTACTTCAAACATACCACCACTGGCAGGTTATCTGTGTGCTACTGATAGCAGGTGTGGTATAGCTTGGGAACCACTGTCTGACAGAATCCAGGGTTGTGTGTCAGACGGGACACACAATTACATCATGAGATAAGAACATAAGAAGACTTATAAAGCAGACGGGGCCATAGGGTTTGTCCCAGGAACTTCAACCAGACACTGTTTTTAAACAATATCAGGTTCGACAGCATGCATGAGAGGTTTGTTCGGCACTCCCAACAGATCTATGTAAAAAGTTGCTGCTTGTTCTCGGCTCCAAATGTGTGTCTGCATAGTTTCTGCTTATGTTCTGTGCATCATGTTTGCTCGGAAAAAGTCCACTGAGTTGAACGTTTATGTCTTTGAGGGTTTTAATACATTAATCAGGTCCCCTCACAGACTTCTATGCTCACCAGTCAGGTGCTGCACGGGTGATTCCCAACACCGATAACATGTCAGCAGTCTGACTCAACAGCACAGGGTGGAGACATGAGACAGTGCTTCACCAGTTAAAGAGTAACTTTATGCAGGTTTGAAGTTAGCCAGGACTCTGCAGTCTACTCATTCCAACACTGCCAGGGGATCATGAATGATCAAGTAGTCACAGCCACGATTAAAGTCTCATCTTTCTGAAGGATGGCACCTACTATAGCACAGGGTAGACTACTGAGACCCTGGTTTGGAAATTCAGGTCCAGAGCGAGGAATTTTGTAACTATATAAAAACACCAAAGCTTTTCTACTGTTTCTAAAATTCCAATTTTAAGAGGCCTACCTCAGTTTTGCCATTTTTGTTGTTTCCTTGAACAGCAAGTTTCTCCAGTACTGCAAGAAGGTGCAAGGCTTTCTCGGGCTGGAATGTCAGCAGGTATAGGTCCACGAGCAGGAAGCACACTGCCTGAGCAAACTTCTCTTCTAGGACAAAAAACACCATCAAGCCAAGCCAAACTACTGCATTACCCATTTTATTGTCAAGATACCTATCACAATGTTGCAGTCCTGTAGCAGCACACATATTTATCAACTTAAACATGTACTGTCTACAAAGACAACAGTTTAACTACATGCACTCCATTTCTATCCATATTATACATGTGTTTAATAGGTTATATTAGAATTATGCATATACCTAGAATCAACAGAATATTTATCACTTACAACTGCAAACAGTTTACAGTCAATATTCGGCAAAAGACAATTCCAGATATACTTTGAAGCAGACGCACTGACAGTTATTGATACAATTGACATAGGATGATTAATATTTGTCAGTGGGAGACTGCCACCAGTAGTAGTAGTAAAATACTGCCATTGCTGAATTTTGCATACAGCTCCTATCTAAAAGCTGGTTAAAATTATTGTTCCTGTTCCCGTCTCCAAGAATTGTGATGTCATCTGTTATTCCATTTGTCATGCGAGGAAAACACACAAGTAAGCATTTCATTGTACACGGGTAGATATGAAAATAAACTTGAGCTTGACTTCTACTGGAAACTTAACAGGCTAGCAGGTATATTGGTTCCTTTCCATATTTTTCTTTTAGGTTTGACAATCCTGAGGTTAAATTAACTCATCACATGAGCCCATTCAAATTAATCTTAATTTTGAATATATAATCTATACCTAAAATGTATTTTCCAAAACTATGCATGCATTAAAACAGTGAGAAGTTTCTTTTTTACTCTTATAAAAATAAACAAACATTCTATGTACTCTTTTCCTATTATACCTGAAGAATACTATAAGTGAAATGAAAACCATTTGCATCCTCTGAATCTAGGTTATATTCATATCATACAAATACACATATTTAGAAAAAGACCGAGACACATACCAAACGGTTCCAAAAACTGATAAAGTTTCTCTCCTACTGCAATAGCTTCCGAGTACTGACGCATGTGGTATAGGACAATGGCTTGATTGTAGTAAAGAATGCTGTTTTCCACATCATCCAAACCGTCCATTTCTTCTACTGCAGCATGAACCTAGGTCAAACAAAGGTGCTTTAATTTAATTTAGGTGCAAAGGAAAGTCTGTTGAAGAGAGGTTTCCTTTCAGCAGGTTACCTGATTTTTCATTGTGGCAAGTGCCTGCTTTAAAGTGTCAGTAGTAGTTTGGCCACTTTTGTAAAATTCAGCAATGGCCTTGTTCATGGCAATTTTGTAGTCATCCTTGTTCCATTCTTGAAGGTGCTCAAGGTGTTTCACGCATTCATCATAACTTCCAGACTAAAAGAAAAAGCAAAAATTGACCGTCAAGCAGAAATCAAATAACAGCGCCGGATAAAAATAAAAAAACGTTGTAAACCTTTTAATTTTATCTACAGAAAAGGTGACACAACTCTCTGAACATGTTCACACCTAAAAGGCAGCCAATAATGAAGCCATCTCAGTATCAGTATAGCACAGAAAATAGTTTAAACATGGAGCAAGTGGAGGTTAACATATTAAACATGACTGCAAACTCATTTAAACAACACACTCAGGGGTGGCCGTGCCTACAGCTCAGTCACAATGCACTTAATATCTTCAGCATCAGTTTATGTTTTCAAATTATGGAAAATTTCACAATACAGCATGTAAAACTAAATCCATGTAACAATCTGTGAAATTATGCTGTTACATCTAAAACATATATCAAGAGAGCAAGAGCACTGAACGTTTATCAAAGTCACTGCAATATGTAATATTTGTTTCTAATAGTTTTTCCTAAGCCCTTCTTTTACGAATTACACAGTTCTGTCAAATACCACACATTACCGAAAATGCTTGAAAAGCACTGGCGGCGAGTTCTTTTTCCCGATCTGTGATCCCAGAAGAAGCTGAATTGTTCTCGTGTTTTGCCTCATTGCCTTGCTCTATACAAAAAAAAAGACAAAAAGGGTTAATTATGATTAACTTAAAATATTATGCACCGCTAAATAAAAATAAGCTTTAATTTTATCCATGGTTCTGGAACCCCCCTCCCAGCAAATCTACACGGCCATCATGTTCTCAATGTTTTCAGCACTTCATCTGGGCTCTCTCTCACCAAACACCACAGCAGCAACACAGTACAAAGAACAAACTTCTGTTCATGACCTTATCCATACATTTTCTAACTGCTTTCTCCAAGACAGGTCGCCTAGGAGCCGGTACCTATCCCTTTGCTTAAGATTAAGTTTAGGAACCAGCACATCTGTTCGTTGTCGTTTAAGATATCCCTTAAATAGCTCTTCGCATAAGTGCAAACTTAATTCACATAATTATAGGATTAATCTAAACTCTTAAAAAAAACTTTAGACGGCGCGGGACCACCGCAGAGCAGTCAGATACGAGAGAAATACACAAACGTCACCGTCATCTCCACAGCTGTACGCGACATTTTAAAATCTGAGGAAATTGAAAGCATAGCTGTGCCAACGGAGATGCTTCCCGGGTATAAAAAGTTAACCAGTATAAAAAGCGGGTTAACTGTACACACAGAGTATATCCTGAATATCCTGAATAAAAGACCACAGACATTGATATACATAACATAAACTAACAGAAATATGCTTCACTTCATTACTGACTCCACATAAGTCACTATACATCTACCCATCTAGAGAATAGCTGTTCTTTTAAACATAAGTTATTTAAATATTTTATTATCGATAGAGCAAAAAGCTGCTTTTAATACAAAGTCGTAATATATATACCTGTTGTGTTATCTGCCATTTCCTCGGTTTATTTACCCAGTGTGCAGACAGCTGTCTATTACGGATTTTTATTACGTTCTGAGAATGTAACCGTCTCAAAGCTTCACAGCGCTTATAAGTCTTCAAGTCAAAACGCGTTCCAATTTGCAAACTGTAAATGTCACTTTCCTTTAAATCACAAAATACATTTAGAAAATTTCTTCAAGAGGAATGAGATGCGATTTTACGGTCAGGGAATTTCAAATCACAAATCGCTCTCAGATGTCCGCCATGAAAATTACCCACAAGCGCCCCCGCACTCAGACGCAAGAGATTTACGTCATCAGGTTCGTCTGTCAGCGGAGCGCAACAGCGACGCCTGTCGCCGTGGAGGCCGCTGAAAAGTCTTTCTAATGGTTTAAAGCCAATTAAAAGGCCAATTAAGCATCGAATAACGAAAACACTGTGATCTTGACTCCCCCTCGGTTTGCACGTCTTTGAAGGGGATGTGAATGTATTATTGTGTTTGTTAAATGCATCCTGTAACAGCCAATGCAGCAGACAAAATAGCACTCCAAACTCTTATTTTTTCACAGTACATTTTTTCCTGTCATCAGATAACCCAACTGCCCGTGCAGTTTATTTTTCCCCAGTAGAAACCGTAAAATGTTAAACTGGTATGTGTGCACTCCAAAATGACATGCACAGATTATTCAATGGACTGTAGAGCCTAACATAGTGCTTAGACACTCTGCAGTAACTGAACACTTTTCTTCAGTCCACACTAGTCACACAATCAATTTGTATGTGGCTCAGCCACTCAAGCTAAATAGTGCTCTGATTAATCAACAGAGTCTCTTAATTAGTTCCACAAATGCAGACAATTACAGCTGTTTCAAAATGTAAATGTATGCTTTTCCTTTGTAACATCGTAAAATGAGCTGTTGAAATCGGCAACAAAATATGTTAATGATGTATTTAAAAAAAACAGAAAAATCAATGTCTTTGAAAATAACAATGCAAATACAAACCGTGGAGCCCTAAAACAGATTAGTACCTCTTCTAGTAATGTGCATGCCTAACAGCACCTCCCAGTTAGCGGCCTCTTCATTTCAGTCATCTATACCAGACGTTGTATCAATACGAATGTCCCTGTATAATCAATCCCTGAATTCTACCAGCAATGACTTAAAAAAGGGCTCATGTTTTTCATCCAGAGTCTGAATAAATCGCAGCTGGGGGCTCTTCTCAGAAGTGCTACTGCAGTGTGCCAGCTCTTGATGAAAGCTTGACTTTCCTCCTATACGTATGTGAACTAATGAGATGAAAAGTATCTATACAGAGTATAGATAAAGTAGTATACATACATACTGTATAAAGTAGTATACAAAAGCACATATTATACTGTATATTAATTTAAAGATCTCACTGGACATTGTTAAATCGCAACACAATGAAGCTTGGTGTTGTGTGATAAATCAAACCCTAGTCAGACTTGGTGTACCTTCTGGAGAAGATGAGGGCATTTTAGCATTTGCAGCAAAAACAAAGAATTGATCTGCTCCTCGTGAGTTGCAGTTCCTGAAGAGATAATTCAGTTATAAGAATGCATTACTTTATTTTATCCATTGGATGTCAGTATTTGACCATTGGCTCAATCAGCCCCTCTCATCTCCCCAAACTGGCAAAGTGGATTTTAAAAGGAATTCTTTAGACCAGGTCTTAGAACCCCCCGTGTCCACTGGCTTTTATCCAGCTCATCTCTTTATTATAAAATCAAATTTCAGAATTAAGAAATAATGTAATAATTAAACAGTTTTGAGTGTTTTCTGTAACTGCAAGGGATGTTAGAATTAACTCAAATATTTCAATTAATATTAACTAAAAATGTACAGAAATGTGGAAATTAGGGCAGCAAACTTAGGAGCAGTGAGCAGGTGAAAAGGTCTCAATTAGTTCAATTAAGTAACTGATGTCAATTCTATTGGCAAGGACCATGAAGGAAAAAGTAGGCCTCAATCAGTAATTCCCTCCCAGTTTACTGTAATAGTGAGTTTTACAGTAAACAAATTGGGACAAAAGCATGAAAAATTAACTTGAAAAGCTATGGCCATAAAAAACAAAGCATTAAGTAGGGCCTTAATCTTTTGTTTTATGATTTAATGCAAAAACCTCTCTGTGGTACTGCAGAGCATCTTAAATTTTATGACAGCGTCACATATTATCTTTATTATACTTCACACATCTGATCGCCTCCTGTCTAATGGAGAAATGGCAGAGTTTGAACATCCCAGCTCTGTAAAATCTAAATCACTCCAAGCAGCAGTGCAGCTGCAGACATTGTGAAGCAGATCTGCACCACACAATCAATAACAGGGTGTCATTACACAGATGGGAAAGCTTTGACGCAAATTCTGAATTTCCTACGCAATACATTTCCAGTGCTTTCAGGAGGCAGAAGACAAGTTTCAGGGGGAAAATGTCAATCACTGAACAGTAGATAGTGGAAGATGAGAGGCAGCACAAGATGAAACAGGCCAGAATCAAGGATTGTTATGTAATTTTTGTTAACCAGAAGATGAGATGTGTATGTGTGGGAATAAAAAATGTAAACTGTACAATTTAAAGTATTTATTTCTGAACTAACTTTTAAAATACTTACATATTAGAAGAGATGTAATAGTATTTAATAGCTGGTGTTTCAGATTTTTTATGCTGTTTGATTTTTTTTTAGTCTTATGGGCTGTATTTTTCATTTTCCAGCTGCTTCATAGCTTTTGGTAGCATAGATAACATAGATATTCAGATGCCTGGCTTCCAGACTACACTCAAGTGTGATGTGGTCTAGGGATTTTAAATTGATGGGTATTAAAAATACAACAGATGCTTTTGCTTCCATTTTTAATGCTTCCCAGTATATATTAACTTGATAGACCATTTCCTTTTTGGCAAAATACAGTGACATCAGGAGGTGTGAAAAAGTGATATCCTTACATAATAGTTATTCTTAAAGGTAAGTTTGTTATTTCATGTTCAGGTATAGTTATGTTCTCAGGAGAATGCATTTTAAGTAACACAAAGTTACAGTTATTACGGATTTAAAAAATGTATTACTAGATAACGTTATTTGGGAAGATACAGAACAATTACTCAATTTCTCAAAATAAAAATCATAATATTTTATGTATTTATAGTATTTTGCAACATTGGTTATTTTTCAGGAGCAATGATGTGATGCATTCTGTAAAGTACAGTAGGAACCCTAAACACCAGATGATCTAATTGGGCTGAATGAACTCCCCTCGTTTGTAACCATTACAATGTTCAGAGCTACTAAATTCAAAGGTAAACCTATACCATACCCGGATTTCTTAAATGTTTTCAGTGTTGCTCTATTAGCAAAGCAAACCACTTGTCTTTAACAACGTCAGCACAAATACAAGAAAACATCATTCTGGCATGTTTGTGTTGTGTGGATGATAACAAGGGATTCAATTAACACATAAAATGCGATTCTGTTTCTTATTACTGATGGATTCCATCTCCAGACTTTTTAAAGGTTTACAGCTTTGTGTAAGTGTCGGATTTCTCTGTGCAAGAAGTGGAAAAGCAGATTTTTCTTCTGTAAGTTGCTTTGCAAACAGCAGAACAAAATGCCAGAGAACTGAATTTAGCTGAGCAATTAACACATTTCATTTTTTCCCCATTTTCCTCTTAAGGGAGGGATGCATACTGCATAGGTTGTTTATCCATTAACTTTGTGAGTAGAAATCGCCGTCACGGAGCGTTTTTCAGGACCCTGTGCAGACGGCGGAATCCGGAAGGGAGTGAAAAACACGGGAAAGACGACTGGGATCGGGGCTGGGAGAAGAACAGGGGGGCGTGTCGGCGGTGCACTGGTGCTGGGGGGGGGCGTGGCCAAGGCAAACGAGTCCAAATCCAGGGTGAGCAAAAGTCCAGAGCCGGGTAATCCATCCATCCATGACAGGAGTTAAAAGCCGGAGCGGGATCCGGCGAAGGGTCGGGGGAATAAAAAGGGGTAAAGGGGTAAAGGGGTAACGGGGCCAAGCGCTCCAAGCCCTGGACCCGTCAAGGGGCTTGCCTCTCCCAGACCTGAACCTTGAATGGTGGGAGCGTCTGGCTTTTGTAGGGAGGGGCTGGAACAGGGGGCAGGTGCAAAAAAATCAAGAGAAACAAGAAAGAGCCGGAGCGTCCTTAATCGTGACAATCGTTCCATTTGTCAGTAAAAATCCAAAACCTATTTAATCATTGCTTGTAATTTTTGCACTGAATTATTTAATCCCTTCTTAAAATTTGTTGAAGACTGTGATTATCCTTATTACTTATATTTTATGGTTTGAGCTGCCATAGTTAAAAGCTACATCAATCAGCCAGGTTACTTTATATTAGCTGTTAAAGTATGACTTATTCTAATGTACTGTAGCTTTAATGGCATGTTCACAGAACTCTTGAAAATAGAGGCTGTGCCAGTTCGGTTTTCCTTTCGAAAAGTCTGTATAAAGATTCTAGTGACGAGCAGCAATTTGCTCACTCCATACAGTATGATAAATGTCACACTTTTGCAAGAATCTTTTTAAATGAAAAATTGGAACCACTGATTATTTTTTACTATTATTATTTTATTAATAAAAAAACCGAGACTCACAGACACGTTCCCCTGACAGGCCCACCAGCAGACAGGAGGTGCAGCACTGACTGGAGGACAGGCACATCTGCCACTGACGCCACGGCCAGCCTGCAGCCCTCCCATGAGCTACCGTCCGCTGGGACGACTGCTCGGCCAATCCCCGTCCAGCCCTGCCAGCGCCGGTCACGCTCGGCTGGTGGCAAGAATGAGAGTGAGAGTGCCCCCCCGTGGCGAGAGTCAGGGGTTACTGTGCGTCGGCAGCCCCACTGTGGACGCTGAGAAGCTGCTTCACTGGCCAGGTTGGTGGGGAACTTCAGGAAGGTCTTACAAGCCCAGAGTGCAATTTATCCAGGACACAGGGGTCAACACTCCTACTCCAAGGTAGGTTCCATGGGAGCTCAGTGACTAAGTGGTGAATCTGCCTTTTCTTGAAGGTCCCCCCAATTCAAATGTCGATCAGGCTCAGCTGGTCCGGCTCCTGAGATCAGGCGAGACCGGTCCACAAGGGGGCGACGCTGCTGCTAGTTCTCAGGCATTTTCAATTATCTGAGCCACTGGTTCTTTAATACTGAGCAGCACAACAGATGTGCTCCCTTCTGCAGTGCGGGCCGTTTGTCCGCCTCTTGTGTTTTTAATTTTACTTTTTAAATTGGATTTTAAATAGCGATAG